TGACAGGGGAATCCGAGCACGACGAGCTCGCCCCGGAATTTCTCTTGGAGTGCGTTCAGTTCGGGGTAGGTGGCGGACGTGAGGCCTCAGAATGTCGCCACGTTCACGATCAGCACCACCTGGATCGGTGGATGTGAGATAGGATGTTAGTCCATCTTGCGGAGAGAACACTTTTTTATTACTAGCATTATGGCCTTGATGAGGATTTCTGAGTTTTTGTCTATGGTGGTTCTTTACACGTGGCGAATAGTCGTAGTTGTTTGCGTATCTTGGAGCGAGAAGGAGGGAAAGGGAGAGGTTTTTCTTCGGAAATTGGAATGGACACTGAAACCTTTCTCTAGACAGAAAAAGGAATCCTCAAATCAAATATGAATCACAGTTATCCCCATCCTTCCTGCCCAAGGGATTTCCCGTTAAAAAAAAAAAATCAGAGCGATGAATTTTCCTGGAGATCTGTCGGCGTTTCTCCTGTTTTCCTCCGAAAGTTCGCCTAGCAAATGGCCCTTTCGCTGAATACAATTACCATCAATTCCTTCAGGCAAGTTGAAAAACCGGTCTCCATGAATGAATCAGCCCATACCAGCAAACAAAAGCTAGCATGCTAAAGAAAATGGATGTAGAATATGGGGAGATAAGATAATTTTTTCACGAGAGAATGGACTGACCTTCCCGCGGAACTCGGAAAAGCTGACATTCTTGGAACCGTCGAGGAGTTCCTCCTGGAACTCGTAGATGGTCCTGGGATCGGTTTGGTCGCACAGGGACTCCTGGCCGAGGGTCACCCACGGCAGGAACATCCCGCACAGCAACGTCCCCAACCCGAGGGGATTCATTCTTCTCTCTCCCTCTCTCTTCACCTGTGTGGATGTCGCGACTTCGCCTAAACGAAGCAGCGGCGATCGGAGGATGAAATGAACGAGGCGTATGCGTTCGCTCGGTTGTCGAGGCTGCGAGAAGTTTCCCTGATACATTCCATATGGGAGTTTGTTGCTCCTGGCGTTTCGTAAACACGGTCTTGTCTTTCCTTTGACCTTCTCTGTTCATTTTTCCCATGACCTTTCCTTTCGACCTTTTCTCCAGGTCTCCACGTGGAACATGACTAATTGCTTCGGTTTTCCACCAGCGTTCAGGAAAACAATACTCGAGAATTTTTTGCGAATTCTCCCTGGAAAATTCGCAAATTGGAGGAATTTGACATTTCCTCGTTTAATTATACGAAATCACGACTTGCTCGATCGAAAGACCGGTTTTCCACCAGCGTTCATTTATTATTTAAACGAAAGGCCTCAATCGAATTAAAGAAAGTTAAGAAAGAAAAGGGAATTTCGCGAGAGGCCGAGAAATAAAACATTCCGGCGCGATCGGGATGGGAATCCCCGCGCCGTCGCCTCCGGGGACGTTTCGAATCCGGAGGAGTTTCCTCAACGTTCCGTCATTCTTTTCATCGGCTTCCCCCGTCCATTTCCTCGCGGATTCCGTCAAAAAAATCGCCGCTCATGGATCAAACAATTATTTCACCCCTTGCGGATAAGTCTCGGATGCGATAATGGTACAAACCAAGTTCTAATGGTACAAATGTATATGTACCACCAAATGTTATAATGTACCAAAGGATATATGTACCAATATACAGCTTCTTAAAATAATTTTCCCTGTTTTCTTGTGAGTGATTTAGTTTTAATTTGGTTACTGAGTAGTGATTAGTCTGCAAAGCAGGAAACATTCTCATCTTTCCTTAATCTGCTTCAGCTTGTCACTCAACTGTCATGTTTCTTCTTTGTTTGAAGTGCCCAAAAAAAGTTGTATTCGGTTGAGCTTCAAAGACCACTTGGTTTCAGTCGTTAGAAAAAACACATTTTCTTTAGGACTGAAAAAATTTTATTTGTTGAATTGGGAAATTGCCTTGGAGAAGACTGCGG